CACTTAAAACTTGAAACCCGCTTCTGTGATCAACATCCCGCATCTGCGATAATGCAGGTGCGGTCCCATGTGCGCACCTGCGACTCCTGCCCTTCTCCTCTATCGCCGCATCTGCAGCTGCTTATGGCTTCTGCGGGCCTCGCACCTGCGGTCCTCACTTCGCAGCTGTGGTTATGACAGCTGAAGGAAATTCTTCAGCACTTCCTCAAATCTCATCCTTGATCCGATAACCTCCCGAAATCAACCCGAGGCCCTCGGGACCTCAACCAAACATGCCAACAAGTCGCATATCACCATTCAAACTTATTCAAACCTTCAGAACGCTCAACACTACATCAAAACACCAAATCACCCTCGAATTCAAACCTAAGGATTTCCAAACTTCCGAGTTCCACAAATGATGCCGAGACCTATCAAACCTCACCCGAATGACCTGAAATTTTGCACACACGTCACTAATGAGATAACGGACCTACTCCAATTTCCAGAATTCCATTCCGACCCCGATATCAAGATTTCCACTGCCGACCGGGAAATGCCAAATTTCCAATTTTGCCAATTCAAGCCTAAATCTACCACATACCTCCAAATTACATTCCGAACACGCTCCTAAGTCCAGAAACACCTAATGAAGCTATCCGAACCATCAGAATTCACATCCCAGATCTTCTACACATAAGTCAACATCCGGTTGACTTTTCCAACTTAAGCTTCTAAATAAGAGACTAAGTGTCTCATTCCACTCCAAGACCACTCCGAACACAAAACAACCAACACGATACGATGAAATGCAGCTGAACAACACATAAGGAAGCAGAAATAGGGAAAATAGGGTTGTAACTCATGAAACAACTGGCCGGGTCGTTACACCAGCAGTCATCCACCCAGACAACATTCCAAACGCAGAAAAATCGTTAATAGTCCACATTAAATTAGCACGCAATTTGAAATTCTGCTTGGTGATATGTCATATGTTTCAACACCATCATACCACAATTGTTTTAGCTCATCAATCAAAGGTTGCAAATATACACCAATCAAACATTTCAGATTTCGTGGACCGGGGATAATACAATTTAAAAATATATATGGACTAGTCATACACAACTCAGGTGGTAGATTATAAGGTGTAAGAAAGACAGACCAGCATGAATACGGTGTCGCAGATATAGAAAAAGGCGTGAAGCCATCTGCACACAAACCTAACCGAATGTTCCTTGGTTCACTAGCATAATCTGGATATGTCCTATCAAAGTGCTTCCAAGCTTCTCCATCTGAAGGATGACACATAACACTAGGTGATCTTCTATTTTCAAAGTGCTATCTCATATGAGGAGCAGAACTCATCGACGCATATAACCTCAATTCAATTCACATCCTAAGAGTTTAAACATAAAATAAAAGTTCAATTTATACCAAAAAGTTTAATTCATATCCTAAAAGTTAAACTCATACCCTAAAAGTTCAATTCACAAGAAAAAAAATCCTAAAAACACAATTCAATTCATATCCTAAGAGTTTAAACATAAACTAAAGTTCAATTTATATCCTAAAAGTTCAATTCATATCCTAAAAGTTCAACACATACCCTAAAAGTTCAATTCACAAGAACAAATCCTAAAAACTAAATTCAATTCATATCCTAAGAGTTTAAACATAAAATAAAAGTTCAATTTATATCCAAAAAGTTCAACTCATATCCTAAAAGTTCAACCCATACCCTAAAAGTTCAATTCACAAGAACAAATCCTAAAAACACAATTCAATTCAAAGTTAATAATTCAATTCTAACTAAACTATTTAAGACAATACAAATTTAAACATTCAATTTACACCATATGTAATCAATTCAATAAAAACAAGACCTAAACCCTAGATTTCAATAAAATGCAAAGTTAATCATACCCTATTTACACATTAATTAACTAATTCATAACTAGTTAACAAAGTATTAAATTTATACAAAAAAAGGAGTAAGTTATAATTCAAACCTGGAATTTTTATGAGGTGGAGAAGGAGGGGCAGTAGTGGTGGCATCACTAGTAGCGGCAGCGGCGACGGCGGGGGAGTGGCGACGGCAGAGGAATGGCTACTTGGGGTGGGAATGGGATTTGTGTAAGGGAAATAGAGAAGGAGAGGGGAATGGTGTTGTGTGTGTGAGGGAGAAGAGAGGGACGATGTCACGACCCTATTTCCCCTCCGTTGGGTATCGTGATGGCACCTAGTCTTAGGGACTAGGTAAGCCTAACATTTACTGAATAACACAATAATAAATAGAATCTAACAGTCTCGAACTAGAAATCTCTACAAAATTTATAATTTTCCAAAACCGGTAGTATAAGTCATAAGCTCTACAGAGTTTACTACAACTTCTAAATACAACTGTTTAGAAATAAGTAAAAACAGTGTGAATACAAAATAGGAAGGTGACTCCAAAGCCTGCAAACACCGCAACAGGTTTACCTTGAGTCTCCTTGGCAAGAATCCGCACAACTACTAACGATCAAAAACCTGGATCTGCACAAAAATGTGTAGAAGCGTAGTATAAGCACACCACAACGGTGCCCAGTAAGTATCAAGACTAACCTCAGTGGAGTATTGACGAGGACCAGTCAAGACACCTACTGGTCTAATAACCTGATCAAGTATAATTATAGGAACAACATAGTATAACATCTACATAAAGACTACCCGATATGGCTAACAATACAGTAATTTCAATAAGAAAGGAAGCAACAAGTATCAACGGAACACTATAATAATGATACAGAAGAGTGAACGAAAACACAACCTAAATTAGAAATCGCAGATACAGCAAGGACAAGTAATAACTCAGAAACTACGATCGCTTTCACATTAGGTTTTTAGTCAACAAACTCCACGAGGTACCGAACCTCGGACAAATCGCAACTCACAGGTCTCAATACCTGAAATCCTAACACTTGGCATCCTGTGCCCTCATCACACCTCATAACCGCACTGACGACTCACGTGCCAAATAGAGTTATTCTCACATAGAAGGTAAGTAAACAAGGGTGTGCATCTATACTCAAAAATATCAAGAAGACCTCTTATCCGATAAGATTGTTTAACTACGTGTATGCTTGTGCAAGTGTCCATTTCATACCAGCTAGTATGCATAAGGAAAAGAACGGACAACACGTAGAATGTTTTCTCACAACTTTCACAAGACAAAGCTCACACAGGTAAGTGTACCACTACACAAATATCAACAACAAGAATGCCCCCAGGCCATCATAAATCATCACAAATCAGTCCTTGACATAGCCCGCCTTCTCTCGCCACGTGTGCAATAATAATATAGTAAGTGCTCGCCTCGTCTCACCACACGTGTAGTATAATGTTCCCACCTTGTCTCGCCACATGCGCAATCTCCCCCCCCCCATATATATATATATATATATATATTTCCTTTTCATGCCACAAGTGCATATATCAATAGGAACAATAGCATGGAAGAAACCTCGTGCAACCGCATAACAACAGCCGCACGGTAGAAACCTCGTGCATCACAATATCAACAACCGCACAGCAAAAACCTCGTGCACCACCACACCAAGTACAACAGCAACAATGACAATAAATACAAGAACACGACAACTACATCAACTCAAGAACTTTCGATCACAAAGAGACGGTAAAACCAGCTCACAAGGAACAACCACAATAGAGAATACTAGGTGTAATAAGAACAACTCAACAAGGGAGAAAATAATATGTAACAACGATTCCACAATATGTAGTTGAACAACAAGGAAGCTAACACGAGTTAAATAATTCCAAATAAGGACATGTCGACTAAGTATAGGATATCTAAACTTCTTTTAAGGTTGGGCAATTACGAAGAATATACAACAAATTCAATTAAGGATGAGCAACGGAAAGATAATCATAACCTCAATAAAGACTAAGCAATTACAGGAGAGATAACAATGATTTCCAATAAAGACAAGCAGTTATGAAAAGATAGCATGACAATAGGAGAGGTAAAAATCTTCAGTTAAGTCAAGTAAGAGTCAAATAGGCAATAATAGTGAATCATAAAGTAATTTATTCCAATTAAAGCATGTCGAGGTGAAACTAGTAAATAGGAAACTCAATCATATCAAGAACAACTTCATACTCAGTGAATATAAGGACTTACGAACCCTAAAAGGCCGATTTTCCATAAATAAGTCCGAGCACGCACTCGTCACCTCGCGTACACGGACTACAATCAACATAGAAGACTCAAATCATAAAGGGAAATCCCCCACACAAGATTAGGCAAGATACTTACCTCAAAAAAGACAAACTGATACTCTAAAATGCACTTCTCGGGTGAAATGACCTACGACTCAAATCTAACCAAAATAACTTCAAAGAACAAATAAAACTCATAAGAAACCATTCCGGATCATAAAGACTCAATTTTTATCAAAATCTAAAAATCGGTCCAAAAGTCAATCCTTGGGCTCGCACCTCAGAACCCGACAAATTTTACAAAACCCGAATACCCATTCCGATACGAGTTCAACAATACAAAAATTATCAATTTTCGATACCAATTCGTCCTTCAAATCATGATTTTTCATTTTGAAAATTTTCTTCAAAAACCTCCATTTTCTTCAACTCAAAAAACAAACTAAATCATGGAAAATAATAAATTCTAGATGAAGAACACTTACCCAATTGATTTGCTTGAAAACCCCACAAGGAATCGCTCAAAATCGAGCTCTACAAGTCAAGATATGATAAAAATGGCCTAACACTCGATTGGAAGATCTTATATTCTGCCCGGGTGTTTGTGCATCGCGAACGCGGAAGAACAATCGCGTTCGCGAAGAAGGAAAATGAAAGCTGCCCAGTTGTGCTTCGCAAACACGACAACACGTTCACGAACGCGGAGAAGAAAAGTCTGATGGCCCAATGACTGTCCTTCGCGAACGCGTGAAGTAGTACGCAAATGCAAAGAGTTGAATGGGCAATACTACGCGAACATGTGGGCAGAACGCCAGCACGATGAAGGAAAAGGTTGGCTTCCGCGATCGCGGAATGAGGAATGCGAACGCGAAGAACAAATATTCCCTCCTCCAAAATTACTCATCGCGAACACGGAGGAGCAGACGCGAACGCGAAGGAGAAAACCAAATGACATATATCAACAGTCCAAAAATAGAAGGTAATGGCCCGTAGCCCATCCGAAACACACCCGAGGCCCCCGGGACCTCGTCTAAACACACCAACAAGTTACATAAGCTAACAAGGCCTAGCTCGAGGTCTCAAATCACATCAAACAACGCCGAAAATGCAACTCGCGCCATGAATCGAACTTATGAAGTTTCAAGTCTTTCAACTTCTAAAACTCGCGTCGAAACCTGTCAAATCAACCCGGAATGACGCCAAATTTTGCAGACAAGTCCCAAATGACATGACGGAGCTGTTCCAATTCTCGGAATCTCATTCTGACCCGGATATCACAAAAGTCAATTGTTGGTCAAACTTCTCCATCTTCCAAACTTCAACTTTTCCAATTTTCGCCGAAATGCTCCAATTTATTCAACGGACCTCCAAATCCAAATCCGGACGCACGCCTAAGTCCAAAATCACCATACGAAGCTACTGACATCATCCAAAACTCATTTCGGAGCCGTTTACACAAAAGTCAAATTCCGATCAAATTCTCACCGCTTAAGCTTCCAAAACTAGAATCCTTTTACCAATTCGACTCTGAATCATCCGCTAACTGAACTCGACCACGCACGCAAGTCGATACATATAATATGAAGCTTCTCATGACCTTATGCTGCTGAACGGAACTTAAATTCTCTAAACGACCGGCCGGGTCGTTACAGAGGAGTATGAAAATTTTGAGAAGAGAGTAAGAGAAATGAGAGAAAAATCCTGTTTCAGATCTAAAATTAGAATTACCGACCAAAGTTGGTCGGTTATATAAAAAAAATATTTTTTTTTGTTTTGTGTTTTTATTTCTTAAAATATTATAAACTATAAAAAAAATATTATAAACTATAAGCATTTATTTTATTCACATAAATATTTATTATAAATAATCATAAACTATAAGCATAATCTTTATAAATAATTATATTAACTAATTACTTTTGACAAATTATAATAGTATCTATCTAAGTTAATTTTCTACGTTATAATTAAGTATATGAGTAACTTCACACACACAAACACACATACACTATATTGTAATTGATGATCAATCATATTCATTACTACGTACGAAAAATTTATCAATTGATAAACCAATATTATTCTATTTTCAATATGTTTAGTTGTTTGACCTATTAACTTGTTTACTTAATGCTATTAACTTCTTTCGTTTCTTTAATTTGTGATATACACATACATATCAAAGATGTTTAGTATTAGTTCTTCTATATTTCATTCATTCATCACTAATAATGCATGACATAGATAAATCGATATAGGTCGAGGTATTTTGTTTTTAATATTAAATGATATAGGTCGAAACATTTTGTTTTTAATATTCCTCGATTATGCATCTAGGTAAGTTATAAGTCGATGAATTAATTTACAAATAGATATATTTGATGATGATCAATTATATATACTAATTAGATTATTTCTTCTTCACAAGTCTATCCCCAAAAGAACTCGACCCTGCATGTGGTCCTAGCACTTCGCGTTCTTATATATATGCGGCTATACCTATATATATATAGAGCTTGTTATAGTATATGTTAGTGTATTCATTATTTGTATTACAAATAAAGTGTTAACGAATTACATTTATATTATTTAGATAGTAAATATTAAAGTGATTCAAAAGTTTGACCATGTTTGACCTATTAACCGACCAACTTTGGTCGGTTATTTTCCAGGAAATAAAATATAGCGATCAAAGTTGGTCGGTAAATGCTTCTCCTACAATAACCGACCAACTTTGGTCGGTAATCTTAAATATAAATTCTTTAAATTTTATAAAACATTTTAAGCAATAATATAATTATTAAAATTTAAAAAATTGGGTCTGCATTACCGACCAAAGTTGGTCGGTAATCAAAAAGTTGCTTTGACTAAGCAAGTCTGACCAGTTCGGTCAACTTTTTGACCAATATACCGACCAACTTTTGTCGGCATGTAATTTAAAAAAAAAATGTAAAATATTTTTTTTGTAGTTTCCGTCCATGTTGGATGGTTTTTTGGTCGCTTTTGTTGACCGGCCAACGTTGGTCGGTATGTCTTGGTCAGTTTTTACCTAATTTCTAGTAGTGCGATACGAGCTCATTTTGGTTATAAGTGGGCGTTTGGGCATAAGAATTGTAAAATTCCAAAAAAAAAGTGAAAATAGTATTTTGAAAATTAGATTTGTATTTGGACATGAATATAATTTTGGATTGTTTTTGAAGCTTTTTGAGTGATCTGCGTGAAAATTTTGAAAAATAGATTTTTGGAGTTTTTCAAAATTTCGAAAAATTCCAAAATGCATCTTCAAGTGAAAATTGAAAATTATGAACAAACGCTGATTTCGAAAAAAAAAAGTTTCGAAAAAAAGGGAAAAATTTCTTATGTAACGACTCGAGCGGTCGTTTTGAGCTCTAGCGCGTCGTTCAGCAGTTTGAGGCCATGAGCAGCTTTATTTCAGGTATTATGACTTGTACGCATGGTCGGAACTGAATTCCGGGAAGTTCGGAGTTGATTTGGAAAGAGAATTCTCATTTCGGAAGCTTTAAGTTGAAAGAATCGACTAAGATTGGATTTTTGAGTAAACGACCTCGGAATCGGGATTCGAAGGTCTCAGCAGGTTCGTACGATGATTTCGGACTTGGGCGTATGTCCGGATCGGGTTTTGGAAGACCCGGGAACGTTTCGGCACCTGTTATGGAAGTTAGCATTTTGGAGGAATTTCATAAGTTTGGGTTGAAGTGCATTTCAGTGTTATCAATGTCCGTTCGGGATTCTGAGCCTGTGGCTCCGTATGGTGATTCTGGTATTGGGAGCGCGATCGGAAGTAAATTCGGAGCTCTGTAGGTCGTTTTGGAGTCATTTGGCTAAAGATAGAAATTTGAAGGTTTTTGATAAGTTTGACCGGAAGTGGAATTTTCGATATCGGGGCCGGATTCCGATTCCGGAAGTTGTGGTAGGTCCGTAATGTTGAATGTGACTTGTGTCCAAAATATGAGGTCAATCAGACGTGATTTGATAGGTTCCGACATCGAATGTAGAAGTTTGGAATTTCTAAGTTCATTAAGCTTGAATCGAGTTGCGATTCGTGATTTCGATGTTATTTGATGTGATTTCAAGGCTCGACTAAGTTTGAATGAGGTATTAGGACTGGTTGGAAGGTTTGGTTAAGGTCCCGGGGGCCTCGGGTGTGTTTCGGATGCTCAATAGGCATTTTAGCCTTGTGGGTGATTGCTGGTTTTCTCATGTTAGTGCAGCAGATTTTTACTCTATGCAATCGCATGGAGAGGAGTGCGATCATATAGTGCAAAATTTGGAGGCTGCTGTTTTGGCTTAGGCGAATGCATGGAGAGAAGTGCGATCGCATAGCGCATTTTAGGGGCTGCTGGATTTTTGGCTAATGCGATCGCGGGGAGGAGTGTGCGATCGCATAGTGCGTTTTGGAGGCCGCTGGGATTTGGCTTATGCGATCGCGGTCGGAGGAATGCGATCGCATAGAAGGGTGGCCTGGGCAGTGAAGTATTTTAAAACGGGTTTTGGCTCATTTTTATCTCAAATCTTTCATGGGGTTCGATTATTGGAGAGCTTCAAGTGGGGATTTTCGTCATCCATGTCAAGGTAAGTTGTTCCTACTCATTACAAGCTAAATACAAGGTTTGTATGTGGATTTGGTCAAGGAAATTAGTAGAAATTTGGGATTTTTTTGAAGAAAGACCTAGAATGTGTAATTTGGATTTTAACCACGAATTTGGGCATGAAATTGAAAGAGATCATATATTTGAATTCGTAAAGTTATGAGTAACCTTTATCTTCGAAAAATTTCGGAATCCGGGCACGTCGGCCCGAGGGCGTTTTTGCAACTTTTTGGTCGGGGTTAGGAATTGTTATAAATTGGATTATTATGAGTAAATGAACCTATATTAATGGATTTGCATAATTATTGGCTAGTTTGGAGCGTTGTGCATCAATTTAAGTCTTCGGAAGGATGTGGAATGCCGGTTATGGAACTTCGGAGCAAGGTGAGTCTCCTTTCTAACCTTGTAAGAGGGAATTGTCCCCATAGGTGAATTAATTGAACATATGTGTTACTATTTGTGGGGGCTACGTACGCACGAGGTCACGAAAGTCCGTGCGTAGCTACTATTATGCCTATGTCCGCGTAGTCTAGGACCCAAAAGCATGCTTGCTTGTAATAATTGTAACTTTATTGATGGATTAATTTGCTCAAATCATATCGAAGTGGCAAATGATTTTCTAAAAGAGTTAAACTTCATTTTCATGACTTGTAAAAGAGAAATGGACACCTCCTTGAACAATTGTTCCTAGATGAAGTCTCGATTGACTGTTTGAATGTGTGTTTCTATGTGTACCTGCGTCGCATGTGTGATTCGCGAGCAGGTGATTGTTTATTTGTATTTGACCGTGTCGCACGTACGATTCGCGAGCGGGGTAATAGATGCATCTATGGTTCGCGCCATTCGACCCTCTGGCAGTGCACAGTTTAAGTATTGTTGAATCGGGCCGTACGTCCTCGGCATGATTTACGCATGCTTGTATTGCTTGCCTTGAAATCTATTGAAGTGATATTGTTCCTTCCCGGTTTGAGAATAAATGTATAAATGATGAAAAGGGATTTGAGATTTTCCCTATAAAAGAAAGAATTGCTTACTTGCTTCACTTTACTGAATTACAATCGTACTTGTATAAATCCTCAATTTGTTACATTATCGATTTATCATTATTGGACCACTAGTAAGTGTCGAAGTCGACCTCTCGTCTCTACTTCTTCGAGATTAGGCGGGACACTTACTGAGTACACGTTGTTTTCGTACTCATGCTATGCTTGCTGTGCATTTTATTGCACAAGTACAAGTATTTCTAGCGGCCTACTGGGCATAGCAGCATGGATGATACAGAGACTAGGTGAGCTGCATTTGTCGAGGAGACCCGCAGCCAGTATAGTCTCTTTCAGCGTATTGTATTTACTTCTGTCCAATTTGTATT